AACCGTGAACACGTACATGCAGAATGCAGGGCAGAGCTCTCTAACCCTGCGTTTCTCAGCCTCGCTGCTGACCCTGTGGGCGGGGTACCTCTTGGTGGGGGGTGGCTTTTTATCAGCATTCCTACCCTCCACCCACAAGCAGTCCACTCCTTCCACCCCAGGGGTAACAATCCCAATTGCCTCCAGATGTTGTCAAATGTCTCAAATCATCCTTAGTTGAGATATGTTGCTTTAACCCAACCAGCCAACTGGTCAATGTAACTTATACTTGAACCGAAAGAGGTAAGACAAAAATCAAAAATCTTAGGACAGGAAATATCTGTTCAGAATCATGCAAATTCTAGTGAGGACCTACTATGTGCCATGTATGTCCCCTTTGTATTAGCTCACTTAACCCTCCCACAAAGGGCACAGCAGTACCGTGGCAAGTCAGTAGCAGGGCATAGCACAGTCGCCGGGTGAAGAAAGATTAAGAGAGTGAATCCCAGCCCTGCCTCTTACTAGCTGTGGACACGTAAGTCAAATTATGTCATCTGCTTGGTCTTCAGTGTCTCCATGTATGCAGCACAGATAACAGCACTTACCTCATGACTGTTACGGCTTATATGACTACATCCATGCAAGGTAACGGGAGAGCATTTATCTCATCCCGAGCCCACAGCTGGCTACTACCACCAACCCGCCTTCGAGACAGCAGCAGCACCGCCTCACAGGTGGCAAAGGGACCAACTCTGAGAAGGAAATCATTGCCCAACTGGGGTTGAGAACCACAGCACCTGCATTTTTAAAACTAAACCTGAAACTAATAGGTCTATGACTGAAGCTAACACAGTTTAGCTTTCAACCCCCATCCCAGTCACCACAGCTGCATCAGCCGCACAGGGACCTGGGCCTGAGACTCAGAGAGGCGGGCAGTATGCAAACACTCCTCAGTGTGCTCCTGAGAAAGGTCCTACAGGCGGCCAGGCTGTGGAGCGGGGCATCAGACCCAAGTAACTAACACACCGGTGCCGTCCTCTTTCCAAGCGTATTTCACAGACAGGCCTTATGAGTAAAGTAAGATTCAAGGGTGCAAAGAAATAAAATGTTTCCCTTATACTTCTCTCCCTGCTATAATTCTATTGGCAATGAGTAAACTCGTGTCCAAAACTGTTTTCTGCATAAATGATTTGTTTTAATATTGCCTTTTGTCTTTATAGTAATATATGCATATAATTAAAGAGTCTAAGTCGAAGAATTCTGGGAGGTTTGCTATAAAGACCAATCCCCTGCTCTCACCAATTCTGGCTGGTTATTTTGGTAGTTATCTCTATATCGTTTAATAACTTGCTTGTTGTGCCCTAGCCATTTCGGCTCAGTGGTTAGAGTGTTGACCCTCTGACAGAAGGATCACGGGTTTGATTTCAGTCAAGGGCAGGTAACTCAGTTGCAGGCTCGATCCCCGACTCTGGTGGATCGCTGGCCCTTGTCGGAATGTGTAAGAGAAACAACCAATCAATATGTCTCTCTCACATTGATGTTTCTCTCTGTCTCTCACTCTCCCTTCCACTCTCTCTGAAAATCAATGAGAAAAATATACATGGGCCGAAATCGGTTTGGCTCAGTGGATAGAGCGTCGGCCTGTGGACTGAAAGGTCCCAGGTTCAATTCCAGTCAAGGGCATGTATCTTGGTTGCGGGCACACTCCCAGTAGGGGGTGTGCAAGAGGCAGCTGATCGATGTTTCTCTCTCATCGATGTTTCTAGCTCTCTATCCTTCTCTCTTCCTCTCTATAAAAAATAAAAAATAAATAAAAATAAAAAAAATAACTTGCTTGTGCTGTTACTTCTTTATTTTTTCAGTTTTGTCTTTCTACCATAGCTCATCACACACATGTTCCCCATATAATTCCTCAGTTTTGTAATATGGGCTAGCTCAGTAGTCAATGTTAACATTATATGTAAACTTCCATTTAATAAACTTTTTACTATCCTGCACAGCTTTTTTTTTTTACAGAGAGGAAGGGAGAGGGATAGTTAGAAACATCAATGAGAAAGAGACATCGATCAGCTGCCTCCTGCACACCCCCCACCGGGGATGTGCCTGCAAATCAAGGTACATGCCCTTGACCGGAACTGAACCCGTGACCCTTCAGTCTGCAGGCCGACGCTCTATCCACTGAGCTAACCAGGTTTTGGTCCTGCACAGCTTTTTAAATTAACCCTCAAGTTCATAACTGCGCTTTCTCACCTCACCTCAGTCACAATATGGCTCTAGTGGGCTTTTTTGCACTTTAGAGAATGTTAAACATTCAACATGCGTTCCTCTAACGTAGGGGTGTCGAACTCAATCAGAGAAGGGGCCAAAATCTAAAATCCAGCCTAAATCGCGGGCCGAATGGTTTACTGAACAGTCATAAACTGTCATTGTGATGGAAAAGCAGCGGAGTGCAGTGATGACAGCGCGGTGCGGGCCACATTGCAAGGCCTGGCGGGACGGATTTGGCCCGCGGGCCTTGTGTTTGACCCATGTGCTCTAACGGGTAGAGCCTAACCCCTTCAAAAATACCCAGCAGGCTAAGCAGCTTCCAAAATATTTCAACTTGAAACAAATTTCCTGCCCCGTGCACAGGAGACTCCCAGGAATCTACTGAATGTTTCAATTAAGTGGCCACCATCTGGCACCAGGGCCACCACATCATAATCGATTAATGTCCTCACCCCGGAGACCCCAGTGAGCCGAGCTGTCCCTTAGACACCTGCTTCTTTTCCCCTAAATGTTGTCTTTTTACTGTAAACCACAACTACAGACGAGGCTGGGGTGGAATGAAACGTTTTCCCAAGTCCTTCCCTGACCTACAAGGCAGCCACAGCTGACAACACTCAAGGGGGACAAGACTCTTCCTCGGTCATTTTTTTTTTTTTAATCTAAGCCTCCACCTAAAAATAACCAACACACAAGGAGCTCTACTTCATCTCCTCGAGTCCTCACAACAACCCTACACGATCGGTTTTATTTTTAACCCCATTTGACAGAATCAAAGTCTGAGACTTGGGGGGGGGGGTTTAAGTCACTTGCCGAGCGTCTCCCAGAAATGGACGGGCTGGGGCTCCGAACCCAGTCCGCTCGGAACGCAGGGGCGATGCTGCCAGTCCTTGCACCCAGCAGGTGCCCAGAGACACGCGCTGGGATGTTCAGTGTAAGGACCAGCGGGCACTGGCCGGGCTCGCTGAGGGGCTTCGGGGACATGGAGCAGGGTCTCCCAAAGGGAACTTCTGCTGCTTCAGGGTGGGGAGGGGCCCCGCCGGGGTCCAGCTGCCGACCCCGAGGCCGGAGCCCCTGACCCCTCAAGTCCGGGTCAGTCTGCGCCGCCGGGGCCGGGGGCCGGGCCGGACCCGGAGCCGCGAGAAGCCGGACCGAGGGGGCCCCTGCGCCGCGCCCTCCGCTGCCGACGCCCCCGGGGCCCCGGGCCTGGCCACACGAGCCGTCCCGCCCGGGGGCCGCCGTCCACGCCCAGCCGCTGGCCGCGTTGGCCCCGCAGACACCCGCCTCACCTGCGTGTCCGCCGCCATCCTACCGGCGCTGACTCCGGAAGTGCTTCCCGAGCACTTCCGGGTCACGGCGCGGCCCACGCGGCAGGGCGAGGCAGGAGCTGGTCGCCGCTGCGCCGCCCGGGTTGGAAACCAGGAGGGCGGACCCGGCGCTGGGCCACCGCCGGTGACCAAGGCCTCCTCCCGGCCCCGGGCCCGGGGCCCTCTCAGCCCGGCCTCTGGGGGAGCAGGGGGATTTGTAACAGTGAAGCCCCTGCAGCTCCGCCCCCTCGATCCGCAGCTCTTATTTCTTAGAGAAACGTGTTTCCTGGCCGGCAGGAACTGAACTAGGTAAAAGGCAGACCGGAAGCTGGTGTCTTGTCCGCTGGAGCCCCGTGGTGGACAGATCAGGGTTAGAAAACAAAGGTGGATGTGGCGGTCAGGGAAGGATTCCGGAGCCGAGCAGCCTGCCCCAGGGGAAATGAATGCCCCAGGCTGGGCACTGAGCCAAGGCTACAGGCGGGAGGCTGGGGCCTCAAGGTTTGATAGTTGCCTGAATTTTACTCAGCCTGCCCCTCTGCCAGCTATAAAATGGGGGCTGCACCGCTGATTGGCCCTCTAATAAGCAATGGCTTTCCAATTTGTGACCAGAGATCAAGTCACAATACATCCTTGTCATTCACACCTACCCTTTCAACAAGCAGCACGTTTTTCCCTTTAAAATAACCACTGCCCATTTTGAAAAACTGGCACTCACTGGAGTGTTTAACTGACATTAAACCTACTCAAAGCATCTTAGTGTGCTTCAGTGGCGGAGTCAACCTATGAACCAGGTAGCAGTGGGTTCCTGGTCAGGGAACATGCCCTGGGCTTGATTGATCCTCAGTATGGGGGATGCAAGAGGCAGCCGATCAATGATTCGCTATCACTGAAGTCTCTCTTCCCCTCTGAAATCAATAAGAATATTAAAGAAAAAAATCTTAAGAGGACCACAGACTAGGGTGGCCATTGTAAATAATTATAATAAATTAAAAGTTAAAGCTGGCTGGGCTTTAGTATCAGATGTTAGACAAGCGTTTCACTTATAAAGAGAATTCCCTAGTGTCAACTCCAAATAGACAGACCTTGGATTATCTTGGACTCTACCTACACCATTTCATGGTTACAGTAACCAATCTCCCATTTATTTAAAAAAAAAAGTTCCATAATTTCAATGTATGTACATGTGCTTTGTTTTTTATTCATTTACCACAAGACTAGAAATAGCTGTCTTTTAAATTTTTTTTCCTGTTTATGGCTCTGTATGTGCTCCATGTGAGTGATGTAGGTGCTTATTTAGGTGGGTTCCAACTTATAGCGAAAATCACTATGTCGAACCAAAGGAACGGATCTCCGACGTAAGCAGAGGACCTATTGTGAAGTTGTATGGTTTTAGTTTCTAGAATACAATACTATAAACTTCAAGATATAGAAAATGAAGAGTGCAGAGACTTAAGAGAAGTAAACCTTTATTTCCTTGCTTCTCAAATAGTTGGCTGAGCTGGTTGCTTTTTGGTAATTAATCAAAGAGACCAAATCCCATATCCTCGTCCGACTCCTCCGACTCTTCCTTTGCTTCTACCTTGGCTGGGGCTGCGGCAGCAGGAGCAGCAGTGGTGGCGGCGGCCGCAGGGGCAGCAGCCACAAAAGCAGATGGATCAGCCAAGAAGGCCTTGACCTGAAGCAAGGGGAAAAGTTCAGTCAGAACGGTGGTCCACCACCTGTCAGCCTTGTAGAGCTCTAGAGTAACAACAACGAATGTCCAAGCCTTCCCTGGGTGACCAGGCAGGTGACAGCTTAGGCATGACCTGTGAGCTTGAGGCCAGCTTGTACCCATTAACTAACCCTCTTAGGATCCAGGGTCTCTTGTCATTTGTAAAGTCAAGGACACACCTCCCATGCCACCCTCCTTCCTCTCCCCTCTCCCCGCCCCAGCCTCTCAAGCATAGGTTAAAAAAAATTGTTATCTGCACCCTAGCCGGTTTGGTTCAGTGGATACAGCATCAGCCTGCAGACTGAAGGGTCATGGGTTCGTTCCAGTCAAGGACACATGCCCAGGTTGCAGGCTCAATCCCCAGTTGGGGGCATGCAGGAGGCAACCAATCAATGATTCTCTCCCATCATTGATGTTTCTCTCTCCATCTCTAAAATCAATAAGAAATTTTTAAAAACACTTTATCCGCTACTATGATAATAAAAGCGATCACTCATCAGGCTGCCATTTATCCGCCTGCTGTCAGACCCACCATGGTCCCAGTAGGTTCTTTTTACCTTTTCAGCAAGTGGGAAGGTGTACTCAGTCTCCACAGACAAAGCCAGAACTCGCTTGTACCCGTTGATGATAGAATGGGGCACTGACGCAACAGTCGGATAACCAATCTGAAGGCACACGCTGGCAACATTGCGGACACCCTGTGGAGGGAGGGGAAAATTATATTTTAGGTGAGAGATCTTAACGAAAAGAGAAGATAGAGAAGTCCAAGCAAAGCTCAATGGCAGATAAAACTTCCTGGACTAGCATCTTAGTCTCACACAGGAATACTTCACACCAAATGCTCTGGCAAGGCAATTCAAATCCAGTAGTTCATAAATGCTTTTTATCCTTATGCCCATCATGGGTATTACTATACCATGATGACGATTGCTACAAAAGCCTCTATTTTGTTTAAAAAAAAAAAAAAAAAAGTAAACTATTAACATAACCATTGAGTTCCACGAGAGGAAGATGTTTAAATAATGCCAGGTGAGAACTTTCCATCCACTAGTGAGACTTACAAAAAATAGCTAGAGTGAACCATGCTATTCCAAGCCCTAGAATAGCTCTAACTATGTACCCAGCACTGTTCTAAGCTTTATACTCATGAATTCATCCATCCTCAACAATCTTGTATCATTAATACCATTTCACAGATGAGGAAACAGGGCAGACATTAAACTGTCCTTGATTACACACTTGGTTCAAAGGAGGGGCCAGGATTCAGTCTGAAGCGAGGCATACTCTCAACCATTAATGTGAGATCCTGGAGTGAGCAGCATGTACCTCCAGGAAGCGGGAATGCAGAGTTTCCTCTGTGATGTCAAGCACTTCCGGGTTGTAGATGCTGCCATTGTCAAACACCTGCTGGATGATCAGCCCAAAGGAGAAGGGGGAGATGTTCAGCATGTTCAGCAATGTGGCTTCGCTGGCTCCCACTTTGTCTCCAGTCTTAATCAGCTGCACATCACTCTGCAGGACAAGGCAACACGTTAGCACCTGAGCATTCAGCAGGCCGACAGCCACCAAGGTGGCCCCACTACTGGCTTGGCTAGTACTGGCAAGCCAGGTCCACTCACCAGGATTTCAATGGTGCCCCTGGAGATTTTAGTGGTGATGCCCAGAGCCTGGAAGAAGGAGGTCTTCTCTGGCCCCAGACCCGTGTTCTGGGCTGGCACAGTGACTTCGCACGGGGCAATGGCACCAGCACGGGCAGCAGCTGGCACCTGAACAAAAGCAAGAATGTGAATTCTCCCTCCACAGGTACAAACTGAGAATCTGGCTTTTAAGGAGCCAAAATTGATAAGGTCTCTTTAGCCAACCTGCTTCTCCTCTTACCTTGTTGGCCAGCAGCATGTCCCTGATCTCAGTGAGGTCCTCCTTGGTGAACACAAAGCCCACATTCCCCCGGATGTGAGGCAGCAGTCTGCAAAGAGAAGGTCACAGAGCGGCGGTCACCTTCCCGCACGTTCTCCTCCAGGAGAGGGGAGAAGGGCACGGGGGAGGGAGGACAAAGGTGCCCGGGCACGGACTGACTTCTCCAGGGCGGGGTTGTTCTCCAGGTGTCCTCGGATGGCCTTGCGCATCATGGTGTTCTTGCCCATCAGCACCACCGCCTTCCCGCGGAGGGACATGCGGATCTGCTGCATCTGCTTGGAGCCCACATTGTCTGCTCCCACAATGAAGCATTTTGGGTAATCATCCAGGAGTTGCTACAAAAGCCAGGAAGAAACAAGCCAAGTTTAACAGGAGGAAAGGGGGGGGGGGGAGGAATCAGGAGATAGATCATTGTCCCGATACCCCAGGGTTTTGAGTTCAATTCCCAGTCAGAGCACATACAAGAATCAACCAATGAACGCATCAATAAGTGGAACAAGTGGATGCTTCTCTAAAAATCAATCAACAAACAAAAATTTCTAAAAATCAGGAGAAACTAACCCCCAACGGTTGGTTTCCATCTCCCTTTCTTCTATGCTTTTGAAGTGACTCCTATTGGGCCAACTCCTCCCACTAGGAGCCACCTGGGTTGTAGCACTGACAGATTTGTCCAAGATTTGCTTGCTGAGTATGGATAGTAAAAATTGAGTTGGTACATTCAATCAGAAAAAATTTTAATTTTAGCTTTTTTTTTTTTTCTTATGTTTCTGATTTGGGCATTACCAGGGGCACTTACTGCCCAAGCCAGTGAATCAAGACCAGCAGATTCTCTCCAAGAACTCTAGCACACCAGGACAATAGCTGTCAAGATGTGACTCTAGTCTTGGGTTAGCTCTCATTTTTTAACATTTCCCAATTATGAGATGTTTCTGACCCACTAAAATGACTTGACAGAAGAAAAAAAAATTCAGCACTCAGATCACAACATAAAGTAAATACAACAAAACCTTCCTTGTAAAATCTAGGATGTGGGTTTCAGATTATTTTACTATCCTGTTAAGAGCACCCACTTCAAGGCCTTCGTAGAGATAACCTCCATTGGGACATTGGGTTTCTTGACTGGCAGGACCTAACTATGCATCAACTTGACTTTTTATGAGTCACTCACTGCCTCTCGCTTCCCCAAAGATGGAAGCAGAGAAGTACAAGTGTGATGAGTGCTATCTGAATGCCAGACAGACCTGGGAATTAATGCCATTTGGCTCTCTTAGGAGCCCAGAACTGCCCGAGCCTGTTTATCTGCAACAGGTGGGGGCGGCACGCAGGGCTTTGGAAATCCTTAAGGTTCAATGAGATTTGCCTGAAATGGCACAATTCAGCAGCTGGGCCCATGGGAGCCGATTGTCCCTCTTGGGCTGCCGTGGCGGAGGCAGCATGATGGCGGCCGCGACCCACCCCGCACTTACGATGATCTTAAGGAAGTAGTTGGACTTCCAGGTCGCCCTGTCTTCCCTGGGCATCACGGCGGTGCGTCAGGGATTGCCACGCAGGGTTTAAAGACGATGTCACTGAGGAGAGAGAGGGAGCTCAGACACCCGTCCCCCGCCCGCCGGGCTCACACCAGAGGCCTGTGGACGGGGCAGGCCACGCGGGAGCGCCCGCCGGTCCGGCCTGGCCGCCGCCCGGAGAGCGCGAGCCCCGGCCGCAGCCCCAGGCCGCGTAAACCCGGGCCCCGCGGCCTCCGGGCTCCCCCGCAAAGACGCCCATCCTTCCCGCCGCCAGGCCCCGGCGCCAATCGGCCATCACACGAACCTCCCACGAGGACGCCTGGCGAGAGGAAGGCCGTGCGCCGGCGCGCGCCTTTTATAAGTAAACGAAGCAGCCAATCAGAAGCCTCCGACAGCACCCCCACCTATTGGCTGGCGCCCACGCCTGTCTGGCAAAGCAGACCTAACACAGGCAGCCATTGGATGGTATAGCTGCCACTCCAGCCTACCGGAAGCCGCCTTTCAGTAAGGAAGTTAAGGAAGCGCCGCCTCGGGTTGGAGCGGCTTTCTCAGAGCTGCTGCCCTCTGCTGGGCTGGCGCTGCTCTGGTGGAGGCGCCAGAGTTTGTAGACTCCGTCTGCGTTTCCCCTGCCACCTGGCCACGTCGCAAACTAGAGTATTTCGTGGAGTGAGAAATATAATATTTTAATAGTTGCATAGAATGCTCTCTGTCCCCTCTGTAGTTTGTCCTTCCCCCTACAAAAGCAGAGGGATCATTCAAAACAGTCGGATCAAAAAATAAATAAAACAGTCGGGTCATTTCCTTATCTGTTCAAAAAGCTTCCCATTTTCCACAAAGTAAAAAGATTAAAACTTAACTGGCCTATAAGACACTAGCATGTCAAACTCGCGGCCCACGGGCCACATGTGGCCCACAACGAATATTTTTGTGGCCCAGCCAATATAATGGTATGTGTAAGAAACGTTTTAGTAAAAATTTCACAACTTAATTTTTACAATATCCTGTTATACATAATTATTAATAACAAACTACAATGTTCGCTAATGACTGATTACTATAGTCGTGTTGCATTCATTTCCCTTATGTGCCTTACACGCAGGCTCATCATTTCTCTCCACTAATACCAGCAGCGAATATTTTAGCAGCCGATGGCCAAAGTATTAGTCTTGGACTGACCTGTTTGGTGTGCACAACAGGAAATATTTCGGAGAACAAGAAAAATAGGTTTATTTGCTTATGCTTATTTGTGCAGTTATTCAATGTTTGGTAAGTTAATGTTAAAGAAGAAATATTAATTTTTATTAAAATGTTTATTAAAATTATGGCCCTGACTGGTTTGGCTCAGTGGATAGAGTGCCAGCTTGTGGACTGAAGGGTCCCAGATTCAATTCCGGTCAAGGGCATGTACCTTGGTTGCAGGCAACATCCCCAGAAGGGGGTGTGCAGGAGGCAGCTGATCAATGTTTCTCTCTCATTGATGTTTCTAACTCTATCCTTCTCCCTTCCTCTCTGTAAAAAAAAATAATAAAATACACTTTAAAATAAATAAATAAAATATTATATTATGTTATGTTAATGGTTACCTACTCATTTATTTCAGCCCTTTATATTCAGTATGTCTCTAGCAAAATAAACCTACTTTTCTATGAAAATTGAAGTTTTTTTGGGGGGGGTTGTTGTTGTTTTATATATTTTATTGATTTTCTTACAGAGAGGAAGGGAGAGGGATAGAGAGTTAGAAACATAGAATGAGAGAGAAACATAGATCAACTGCCTCCTTCATACTCCCTACTAGGGATGTGCCCACAAACAAGGTACATGTCCTTGACTGGAATAGAACCTGGGACCAGTCAGTCCACAAGCTAATGCTCTATCCACTGAGCCAAACCGGTTAGGGCAAAGCTTTTGTTTTTTTTGAGGCCCACAAAAACTTGAACCTTGCCGAAACCGGTTTGGCTCAGTGGATAGAGCATCAGCCTGCGGACTGGAAGGTTCCAGTCAAGGGCATGTACCTTGGTAGTGGGTGCATCCCCAGGAGGGGGTGTGCAAGAGGCAGCTGATAGATGATTCTCTCTCATCGATGTTTTTGGGTTTTTTTTAAATATATTTTATTGATATTTTACAGAGAAGAAGGGAGAGAGATAGAGAGCTAGAAACGTCGATGAGAGAGAAACATCGACCAGCTGCCTCTTGCACATTGCACACCCCCTACCGGGCATGTGCCCGCAACCAATGTATATACCCTTGACCAGAATCAAACCTGGGACCTTTCAGTCCGCAGACCAACGCTCTACCACTGAGCCAAACCGGTTTCGGCTCTCATCAATGTTCCTAACTCTCTATCCCTCTCTCTTCCTCTCTGTAAAAAAAATCAATATTTTTTTTAAAAACAAAAAAAAACTTGAACCTTGTTTATTTGGCCCGTGTTAGCCTTTGAGTTTGACATGCTTGCCCTATATTATCCACTCTCCACCTCTACTCCTATAATCGCATCTCCTATTTTTCTGACTCATTTCCTTCCAGCCAGACAATGTGCCCCTTGACAGCTCTTACACCAACTGTTCTCTCTTCCTGGGAGGCTCCTTGCCTCTATCCACATGTGTGACACCTCCATCACAGTTTGGCTCAAATATCACCTGCTAAATCAGGCCTACTCTTATTTCCTTTATTTAAAATTACTACGTACAAAAAAAATTTTTTTAATAATCACTCCCACTTCCCCCTTACTCTGTTTTATTGTTGTTTTTTTCGTTAGCACTTACACTTTGTAACACACTATGTAGTTTACTTATGACACCAGAGGCCTGGTGCATGAAATTCGTACACAGGTGGGGTCTCTAGGCCTAGACCACCAATCAGAGCTGATGGGGGCCTTCCAGCTGCTGACCAGGGCATTACTTCCCCAGCTGCCAGCTGCCAACAGGGGGCCTTCATTGATTCCACGCCACCCCCAGGTGGTCAGCGCACATCATAGCAAGTGCTGGAACTCCCGGTCTCGCCATCAAACTCCTGAGGGGACACTTTGCATATTAGCCTTTTATATATATAGTTATTTGTCTCTCCCTGCAAGAATGCAAGCTCCACAAGGCAGAATCTTTTGCTTTGTGCCTAGCACATAGTAGGCATATCATAAATATTTGCTTACTTGTTTTTTAATGTTTTTATTGATTTTAGGGAGAAAGGAACTGCAAGGGTAATAGAAACATCGATGAAAGAGAAACATCCGTCAGCTGCCTCCTGCACACTCCCTACCAGAAATGGAGCAGCAAATCAGGCATGTGCCCTGAGCAGAAATCTAACCAGTGGCCTCAGTGCACAGGACAGGACCCAACCCACTGAGCTGCACCAGCCCGGCTCATAAATAGTAGTTGTTGAATGTATGAGTACAGGGTTTGCAGTCAGATGACCTGATCTTCTTGTTCTTGGAAGTGATTTCACCTTGCTGACACTGTTTCTCATTCCTTACCTGTAAAATGGGATGAGTATCCACATTCTAGACTTATGAGGTTACCTGAGCTATTTGTGAAGACTTGACACAGTTCCTGGAATGCAGGAGGAATTTACTACAAACACTAGTTTCTTTCATTATACACTCAAACAATATTTATTTGAACGATTGTACTACCCTGTGAGTGTGTTTTTTTAGATATATATTTTATTGCTTTTTTACAGAGAGGAAGGGGAAGGGATAGAGTTAGAAACATTGATGAAAGAGAAACATTGATCAGCTGCCTCCTACACACCTCCTACTGAAGATGTGCCCGCAACCAAGGTACATGCCTTTGATCGGAATCAAACCTGGGACCATTCAGTCCACAGGCCGATGCTCTATCCACAGAGCCAAACTGGTTAGGACTTGTGTTTTTTTTTGTGTGTGTGTGTGTGTGTTTTAATATATTAAGGATTTTGTACAGAGAGGAAGGGAGAGAGACAGTCAGAAACATGGATGAGAGAGAGTCATGGATCAGCTGCCTCTTGCACACCCACCACTGGGAATATGCCCGCAACCAAGGCACATGCCCTTGACCGGAATCGAACCCGGGACCCTTCAGTCCCCAAGCCGACACTCTATCCATTGAGCCAAACCAGTCTTGGCAGGGCTTGTGTTTTTTAAAAAGTAAGCTTAGATCCGTATTTTTACCCTTTGCACTTGACCAAGTTAGAAACCTCTGTATTTTGTTTGAAAGCCTCCTATGGCCTCTGCTGATGAGCCAGTGAAGAGAAAAGCTGGAGATGATTACTGCTAAGGTTGCTTTGTCATGACAAGGTTTACTGCTGCATGCTTAGCGTTGTGCTGAGTCCTTTGCGCACGTTAGCGCTATTGATATTTGCAACAATATCAACACCATTTTAGTATTTCCGTTTTATGGATGAGAAAATTCAGAGAAGTTAAATATTTTGCCCAAGTCCCTCAGCCAGCGAATGATGATGTCAGAACTGAAACCCATAGAAAGTTCATAGCCCGTGGGCCTCGCTGTGCTGTAGTTCCTTCCAAACCCAGTGTCTCCCCCTTATCCCACTTTACCAAGGATGTACTTACAGCTACCTTCCCAAGGACATCCTGGCTCTGATGACATACGAATTTCTAATTGTAGTACATCAATATAATGGAATACCGTGAGACCATTAAAAAATGCAGATCTATATTTATTGACATGGGGAAATACAGAGTACACCTGAGTGAGGAAGCAAATTGCAAGGAACTGCACCATATCCATTTCTATAAATAAAATAAGTCCAACGTGAGCGGGAAGGATAAACCCAGTAACTATCTTTGGGCGAGGGTTGAAGGTAATTTTCACTTCTGAGCTCACTGTGAAATGGACAGGGTTCAGACTAGAATCAACATGTCCCAAAGAGGTAAGAGGTTTTGGAGGGCCATTCCAAACAACAGGGAAACTGAGGCCGGAAGAGGGTGTAGGGCGTGGGGAGAACGGGGGTCTGGAGCAGGACTGAAGTTCTGGCTGACAAAAGCGAGGAAGCCTGCAAATAAGGAACATGACCACCAGGGGGAAGTAGAGACCAACCGCCAACTAATTGCCAACCATCAGTCCACGCCCTTCAGTGGAGAGGGTCCGTCGCCCACGGTGTTGTGCCAGTACATGTTGTGCCAGAGTGGAAAGAGGGCGGGCGGGGGGGGGGCAGGGTCCGGTCAGTGCAGGAACACTGGCAGAGGTTAGCTGTGAGTTCATACATCCTGTCTCTGCACGTCGGTTCTCCTCTCCGAACCGCTTTCCCCATCTGCAGAGAGTGTAAGACCACCCACAGGCCCTGGTGAGGGTGCCTGAGGGGAAGCCAGGATAAAACTTAGTGCGGGCCCAGACCCAGGCAGAGCCCAGCCAGGCTGCTCCCCAGCCTTCCCTGGCCCACAGCTCACGCCGGGAGCCAGGAGGACCTGCGCTCACAGACCAGAGTCCTTGGGGCAAGGTCCCACCCCAGGCTTTTTACCTGTCAGGAACGCGGATGATTTACCCTCGCACTGCGGGCTCTGTGAGTCTAGAAGGGTTTGGTCTCTCTTCTGGGACTAAGCTGCTATCTCAGACCACAAAGAAAACGTACTAACACGGGTCAAAATAATGGCAAACTTTATTGGCATAAATCACAGGAATTGAAATGAGGAAAAGCCAGGTTAAAAAGTTTACAGAGAAAAAAATTAAAATCAGTTCATCAAATAACCACTGACCCGGAAGGTGGGCCCAGAGGCCCTCCCTCCAGGAGTGGATCTGGGCGGGTGGCTGTAAACAGAGCAGTAAGGCCTCTGTGTGGAGTGGAGACATCAGACCCTTGGGGGTGCCGCTGACCTGCCCTTGGGGGGACGGCAGAGCTCTGGGGCCTTCCCGTGCTTCAGCGGGTCCCGTCCCTCTGCCCACAGCCCCACCAGGCTGCCGGGCATCACCCTGGCCCTTTCCCCAGCCCTCCAGTTCCCGAGGAGATGGGAATTTGGGGAAGTGATGCTCCCAGTGGAATCAACAAGACCAATGGTCAAAACCGGACCCCAGCTTTCCTGAGGAGGCAGGAGGAGCCCCAGAGCAGTGAGGGGGCGAGCATGTTCCGGGGGTTCTTTTGGATGCCAAAGAGTTCACAGGGGAGCGGCGGCTCCTAATGGCTTAGGCCGGAAACAGCACCCCCAGAGCATCCTCCCCGTCTCCTCACCATGGAACAGGACGGATGAGGTTCAGAATCCTAGGCCCCAAGGGGCAAGACACCCTCAGGCCACTTCAGTTAAGAGCTTGCTGGCCTGGGTAGTTAGGAAGGGATTTCAAAATACAGCAGTTTATAAAACAGTCCTGGGAGCCGTGAAGGAAAGACGGGGAGTCTCAGAGCCGCTCCCACTTCACCTGCTTCTGCTAAGAAAAAGGAAAATACAAATGGCTTCCCCACCCCAAGCCCTCAGCACAAGGCAAGCCTGTCCCCCAGCCACTGCCCCGGGGGCCGGCGGTGGACGAGGGGAGTACAAAAGGGGTTCTTTAAAATCTCTTCAAAGTCACTGTGTGCAGAGAAGTAAAAGCACTCGGACGATAGTCAAACCTCAGTGTAGAAATCTATCAAAGTCGGCACAGTGTCCAGGTTGAGGTGAAAGGCCCCTCCCGCGGGGGGAAGAGACCGGAGACGTTATTGCTGGGGGGTCTGCGTCAGTAGAATCGGAGCAGTGCCGGGCAGGGCAGGAGCACCAGGAACCGTCGGGGCCCCCGGGCACTTGGCCTTGGATGGGTGGGTGGATGCTGGCATTGTCTGGGGGAGCCCTGTCCCCCCGGATTATTTGGATAACTTGGTCGGACGGAAATAAAGGTAAAAGAGACCCCATCCGATCCTGCCCGCCCGCCCCCGCTCCACTGCGAAATGAGTAAGAGATGGCTCCAGTGTGGGGTGCTGGCCTGGCCAGGCGGGTTTGTGGGGAGGGGCACCAGCCCCCTCGGGGAGGACGAGGAGCTGGCAGCCTGGGGACAGCTGCAGGAGGAGGGGAGGCCCAGAGGCCCTGGCAGGGGCAGGAAAGAGGGGGCGCCCTTTGAGCCCTCTCGCCACCCTGCACAGCCAGGGCACGGTTCCAGTTTCGGTCGGGCCTGGCCCACCAGCCCCGGGCGGCCTTGGGTCACAGTAGCAGTTGGGGGGCCGGGCCGGGGGCCGGGGGCCGGGGGCCGGGGCGGGTGGAGCGACGGGGTGCCTAGCAGAAGAGCTTGAGGAAGCAGTTCTGACAGTAAGGCTTGTCGTTCTGCTCCTTGAAGGTGCCCTTGTTGAGCTGCTTGAGGCAGAAGGCACAGACGAAGTGCTCGGGGTGGAACTTCTTGGCCATGGCGGTGATGCAGCGGCCGGTGATGGGCTTCTGGCAGCCGGAGCACAGCGAGCCACGCCGCTCGTGGTAGTGCACCTCGCAGTAGGGCTGCCCGTCGTGCTCGAAGAAGCTGCCGTTGATGAAGGGCGTGAAGCACTCCTGCGGGCGGGAGAGGGGTGAGGCGGGAGAGGGGGAGGGGGGAGAGGGGTGAGGCGGGGGGGAGGAGAGGCGGGGGAAAGGGGTGAGGCGGGGGAGGGGGGAGGCGGGGGAGAGGGGTGAGGCGGGGAGAGGGGTGAGGCGGGGAGAGGGGTGAGGCGGGAGAGGGGTGAGGCGGGAGAGGGGTGAGGCGGGAGAGGGGTGAGGCGGGAGAGGGGTGAGGCGGGGGAGGGGTGAGGCGGGAGAAAGGGGTGAGGCGGGGAGGCGGGAAAGGGGTGAGGCGGGGGAGGCGGGGAGGGGGAGGGGTGAGGCGGGTGAGAGGGGTGAGGCGGGTGAGAGGGGTGAGGCGGGAGAGGGATGAGGCGGGGGAGAGGGGTGAGGCGGGAGAGGGGTGAGGCGGGGAGAGGGGTGAGGCGGGGAGAGGGGTGAGGCGGGGAGAGGGGTGAGGCGGGGGAGGGGTGAGGCGGGGAGGGGTGAGGCGGGGGAGAGGGGTGAGGCGGGAGAGGGTGAGGCGGGGGACGGGGAGGCGGGGGAGGGGGGAGGCGGGGGAAGGGGCTCGGGCAGCCCCGGGTGCGATGGGCAGGGGGCGGGCAGGGCCACCACATGCCCACTTGCTGAGCATTTCCTGGGTGCAGTTCCCAGGCGGGAGCGAGGCGTGCGTGGTGAGTGGCCTGCCCAGGGCCGTGCCCCCCAGTGGCGCAGCCTGGATGTGAACGTCCGCTCCGGGGCATGGAGCCGGGCGGCTGCACGGTGTCCCTGAAACCCTGGTGCTGAAATGAACGTTTCCCTGACTTATCCGCCCGGAGGGCCCTGGCTGGGACGCCCCCGATGCAGTTTGGAAACCAAAGGCCAGGTCCTCGGAGGCCCGGAGAGCTCGCATCCTCACGGAGCCCCCCATGCCCTTCTCCCGATCCCAGTGGCCGCCACACGGAGACACTGCCTGCTCCGGTGTCCCCGCCTCAGCACGAGCCCGGCCCAGACCCCGGGCTGACGACGTGTCCCCTGCTGCTCCCCAACGGCCGCACACAGGGCCTCCAGGCTGCCCCGGAGAGCACAGGGAGGGCCCTTCTCTCCTGGCTGCCCAGCGCCCCCACCCCCTTTTAATATATTTTCACTGATTTCAGAGAGGAAGGGAGAGGGAGCGGGAGAGGGAGATGGAAACATCCATGTGAGAGAATCACTGATGGTTGCCTCCTGCACGCCCCCGACCGGGGCCTGAGCCCACAAGCTGGGCCTGCGCCCTGACCGGGAACTGAACCGGGACCTCCTGGCCACAGGTCAGTGCTCGCAGCTGCGGGCGGGGCTCCTTACCCGGCACACGAAGCACTCGGGGTGCCAGAGGGTGTTGAGGGCCGAGATGTAGTTCTCCAGGATGGCCCGGGCGCAGCCGCCGCACTTGGGCGCGAACATGTCGAAGTAATCCTTCCGGCAGTAGGCTTTGCCGTCCTTCTCGTGGAACCCTGAGGAGCAGGTTGTGGGGCGGGGTGAGGGCCTCCGAAGGGGCAGCCCTGACTCCAGCATCAGCAGAGCCCCTCCCCTCCCCTCCCTCCCCTCCCCTCCCCTCCCTCCCCGATGCTCCCTCCCCTCCCTCCCCATGCTCCCCTCCCCTCTTCTCCCCTCTTCTCCCCTCCCTCCTCTCCCCTCCCTCCCTCCCCTCCCTCCCCTCTCGTACCTTCGGGGCCGAAGAAGGCACCGCACTGGGCACAGAAGAAGTGCTCGGGGTGCCACGTCCGGTCGAGGGCCGTCACCACTTTCTGTGGGAGCGAGGGCGGGTCAGAGCCGCGCTGGCCCGTTGGACAGGCCCCACCGCTGAGCTGTCCCCCAGGCCCGCCAGGAGGGGGCTCCTCACTGCTCTGAGCACGGCGGGAACTCTGACCCCGAAGGAGGTGACCCCCCACACTCCTTCCCTCTCAGTGGGCGGAGGTCACGGGTCCCACTGTGACTGTGAGGCCATCCCGTAAGGAAGAGCCGGGCGCAGAGCCACGCGTGGGAGAGGGAGTGGCACCTCAGCCTCACCCCGAGCCCCGCGGAGGGAGTCTGGGGGGCGGGGGCCTCCGGCACCAGGCCTGGGTTTGACCCCGAGCCCCGCGGAGGGAGTCTGGGGGGGTCGGGGGCCTCCGGTACCAGGCCTGGGTTTGACCCCGAGCCCCGCGGAGGGAGTCTGGGGGGGGGGGGGGGGGGCGGAGGCCTCCGGCACCAGGCCTGGGTTTGACCCCCGAGCCCCGCGGAGGGAGTCTGGGGGGGTCGGGGGCCTCCGGCACCAGGCCTGGGTTTGACCCCGAGCCCCGCGGAGGGAGCCTGGGGGGGGCGGGGGCCTCCGGTACCAGGCCTGGGTTTGACCCCGAGCCCCGCGGAGGGAGTCTGGGGGGGGACGGAGGCCTGCGGCACCAGGCCTGGGTTTGACCCCGAGCCCCGCGGAGGGAGCCTGGGGGGGGCGGAGGCCTCCAGCACCAGGCCTGGGTTTGACCCCCGAGCCCCGCGGAGGGAGTCTGGGGGGGGGGGGGGGACGGACGGAGGCCTCCGGCACCAGGCCTGGGTTTGACCCAGCGGTGAGCTCGGGCCTGTGGCAGCGCCTCCTGAGCCTCGATGCCGCCCGGCCGCGGGGGGCGGCGTGGGGCTGAGTGAGTGTGTGTGTGTGTGTGTGTGTGTGTGTGTGTGTCCACACTCACGTCCAGAATGGGGCCGTTGCAGTAGTGGCAGCGCGGGGAGAAGAGCGTGTGGTAGTCCTTCTCGCAGTAGGGCTGCCCGTCCCGCTCGAAGAAGTTCCGGGAGCCGATCTCCTCCTGGCAGTGGGTGCAGACGAAGTGCTCGGGGTGCCACGTCCGCCCCATGGCCGTCACCACCTGCGGAGGGACGCGGCGGCTCAAGGCCCTGGCTGCCCCTGAGCCCCTCCCGGGGAGCCGGCCCCTGTGCCCACCTGCCGCCCCTCCCCCTCATCACCTGCCCGGCGATGGGCTTCTTGCAGGCCCCGCAGACTCCCTTGGCGACTGTGGCGACCCCCAGCTTGTTGAGGTCGGACTGCAGGCTCCCCAGCATGCTGTCCAGCTGGCTCCCGGGCTTCGGGGGCTCCCCGGGGGGGGAGCTGCTCCCCGTCTTCCCCTGGTTCATGAACTGTGGGGAGAGGGGGCAGTCAGGGGGGGCTTTTCTCCCCTTGGACGTGGGCCAGTGGAGGCAGGAAGTGCGACCTCCCCCCGGGGCCCGGGGCCTTCCGGAGGGAGTGACGTCACAGGCTTCCCGGTGTCAGAGGGCCTGGCCCGCGCCGGCCTGAGCCGGGACACGCGGGGCACACGGCACTGACCCCGCCCTCGTCCTGCCCCTCGGGGCTGCTCTGCCTGCCACTCGGAGGCCAGCCAGCCGCCCAGCACAGCTCTCCATCTGCTCTTTGTTCCAGGCCCTGGATCTTAAATGGGGAGAAAACGAGGATAGGAACATTTCTTAATTAAGGAGGAAACCAAAGAGACCTGCTGTTGGGCATTTCACAAAGGGATTTAGGATGAGGGTTTTCCTCTCCCACTGGCAGCGCCAGAATCAGGAGGAAAAGTCTGAGAAAGTCTAGAGTAGGGGTGTCGAACTCAATCAGAGAAGGGGCCAAAATCTAAAATCCAGCCTAAACTGCGGGCCGAATGGTTTACTGAACAGTCATAAACTGTCATTGTGATGGAAACACAGCGGAGTGCAGTGATGACAGCGTGGTGCGGGCCACATTGCAAGGCCTGGCGGGACGGATTTGGCCCGCGGGCCTTGTGTTTGACACATGTGCTCTAGAGCGTCCCAGAGTCCCAGGGCGGACAGAGAAGGGAAGGGGAGCCGACCACGGGCCGGGTCCCGGGGGGAGGGCCTGAGGCCGGGCGGGCTGCAGGGAGGGGCAGCTGGGGTCTCTGGCCCGGCTTTCTCAGAGGGAGCTGGGACAGATGGAGGGATGGGGAGGGACAGGCAGAAGGGAGCCCACAGGCGGGCAAGAGGACGGTGACATGCTGGGTGGGAGTGTGGCGTCAGGTTAAATGAGGTCCAGGGTCAAGGCTGGGTGTAGGAAGGACACGGTCCTGCTGGGCTTGTGGGTGAGAGAGGGGGTGTGTGTGTGGTTAGAGGGGGACAGGGAGGCTCATGCTGGGCCCGGGGCCTGCCTGCATCGGGGGGAACATCGGGTCCTCGTCGGTCTGGCAGCCCACGGACCTCACGGCGGGGGGTGCAGGCAGGGGAGAGGCGGGCCCCGGCACACCTCCCTGCGGCCCTGGCCCAGGGCTCTGGGCCCCGGGGGAGGCACAGGGGAGAGGTGAGGGCCCCAGCGGGGAGGGCGCCGGCAGGCCGGGCGGGGGAGACGGGCTGCTGGCCGAGGCATCTCTGTGATGCTGGAGGAAAGGGACAGGAGAAGGCAGAACAGAGAAGGTTCTTCTCAGGGGGACGGGAGAGCCGGGGGGAAAAACCACCTGGGAGGAGAGAGGAGGAGAGCGGTGAGGAAGACGGAGGAAGCACCAGGCAGCAAGCACGGGCAGAGAGCCACGGCCCCCGCTCCCCGGCCTCCCACTCTGACCAGCCTCTCCGGGGCCACAGGCCCAGGACCCCACAGCCAGCTCCCCTCCGGCCGGGACGCCTGCAGCCGGGCCTGCCCCGGCGGCATCTCCCTGCTACCTTCTCCACCAGCTGCCCCTCGGCCCGCCTCCCGCGAGGCTGCACCGTGATGACGACGCCCTCCGTCATCCAGGCCTGGGCGCCGGCCCCCGCGGCCCCCGCCGCCCCCTCCGCCTCGGGCGGGATGCCCAGCCGGCCCTGCAGCTCTGCGATGAGCCGCTCCTGGGAGGGGGTCCTGCTCAGGGTGGCAGGGTCCAGCCGGCGGCGAGGGGAGGGCTCCCGGGACATGGGGTGCGCGTGGCCTGTCTCCCGGCTCCTCCTGATCACGGAGCGGATCTGAGGGGGGAGGGGAAGCTGTCACAGCCCCACTCTGGCTCTGCCCGCCGCTCAGTCCACACTCGGGTGCCCGGGCAAGGGAGGGCTCAACCAGGCGGCCAGGAGCTGAGGTGGGCGGAGGCGGGGCACAGCACACTCCCAGCACACAGCTCCTTCTCAGCGCTGACCTTGGGCAAGACCTCCAGGGGCCTGGCTCCTCCATCCTTGAAATGGGTTCGCATTTTCTCGGCTGCCTTAGAGGTTACTATGAGGACTATTTATCTGAGAGCATGGGAGTGGGCACTCTTAAAGGGACACAAGGCTTTTTCTTTCTTTTTAATTTGTAATAAAAAATGTGGTCATTCCTTCCAAATCTTCTAACCAGCTTTTTTCCTTATTTATATCCTTGTTTCCTTGTTTAACCTGCTGGTTTGCAGTGGTTTTGTCTTTTTGTTTCGTTTCGTTTCTGTAAAGTAAAAAGCAAGTAGCATCGGCCACGCTCCCTGCGGCCGTGCGCTGTACTCCGAGCACATCCCGGCGTCAGTTCCCGGAATCCTCTGGACAACCCGCGGGGAAAGGCCTGCCTTTACCCCATTTTAAAGATGAGAAACTGAGGCTGGCGGGAGGTTGCCCAAGGTCAGAGGCAGCAGGTGTCGGAGGCAGGGTTTGTTTTCAGTTCTATCTGGTCCCAAAGCTCATGCTTTCACCCCGTTCGCGAACATGGTCTCCGGATGGCAGGGGCGCCCATCTACAGGGAAAAGCCCAGACAAGCAGAAGCGGCTGTCACTCAAAGCGATTCCGGGCGGGAGCGGCACTGGCCCAGGGGGCCCAGGCGAGCGCTGGGCGGTCACAGGCCACGGGCCCAGGACCCCGGCCAAGCAGACATGCGCAGTGGAGGCGGCATGCGGTTAGCCAGAGCGGCCAGCTCGCGCCTGCCTGGCCGGAGGTGGAAATCCTCTCGGTGGCGGGCGAGCCCGGGGCCACGGCACGTGGACGCTCCGGCTGTGCCTCGGCGGTGCCCGCCGGCCTCCGGGCGGTCTCAGGCCCCCCGGGCGCCGGCATCTCTCCAGCCGACTGCTCCCGGCCCACAGGAGCCGGGCGGCGGCCCTCCGGCCCCGCGGGCTCCGGCCGGGCCCCCTCCGGCTGTCCACGTTGCTTCGTGAGAGTCCAGGTATCCGGGAAGACGACCTGACAGTCTAGGGCCACGACGGCTGGCTCCGTTGCTTCCTGGAAGCTGGGCGTCGCTCTGTGGGGGGTCTCTGGCCTGAGCGCCTCCAAAGCCCACGGCTGCTCCCACGTGGCAGCCAGGGCCTCCTCTGACAGCCCTTCGGGGTCTCCCGGCTCCTGGGGACCTGCACACCCGGCTCGGGGTCCAGTGTGGCCCGGGGGAGCCCAGGCGAGCTCACTCTTGAGGTTTAGCGCGTCCCTCCAGCCTCGAGCCTGGCTCTCTGCACCCAGCGGCCCCAGAGAGCCCTCCTCAGGGGGAGACCTTGGGTTGGGGGTGTCAGGTGTCACCCCGAGGCCAGCCAAATCAAGCCAGCTGGGGGCCATGGGAGGTAAGAGGCCCTGCCCGTCCTCATCATCCTCTCGGCAGAGGGCCTCTGCAGTGTGACCGTGGCCTCCAGGGGAGGGTTTAATAGTGGATGGCAAGAGCACAGAGGGCCCGGGAGGAGGAGGAGGAGGAGGAGGAGGAGGAGAAGGAGAAGGACGTATGTGGTGTGAGGATGGAGCTGAGCTGGGCGGCAGCCCCAGGGAGTTCAAGGCCACAGAAGAGGAGCTGGTCTGGAGGAGGAGAAAGACAAAAGGCAGAGGGAGGAAGAGAGAAACGGGAGAGGTGAGGAAGACGCTCCCTGCAAGGAGTGGGCTCGACCTCAGGCTCCGAGAGCCACCGTCTGTATGGCGGGGCGACCGTAAGCTGGCGGGTGAGGACGGGGCCTCACAGACACCCAACAAGGTGTTCCTGGGCCACGTGTCCTCGGCCCCCAGGCAGCAGGGGGCCAGCCCCATCGGAGCAGGCAAGAGGGAGAGAGGCGCAGTGAGGGGCCATAGGAGAGAGTGACCGGGGAGGTCAGCCCGGCACCATCAAGGGACAGTCAGCCGCCTCCAACCCAGAGACCAGCCAGATTCTCGGCTTGGTCTCTCCCAGACACCCATCTTCCCTCATCCCGAGACCTTGGTCAGGCCTCAGCTTCCCACGGGCACCCCAATGCTGGCCCTCAGAAAGCCCCGGTCGAAAGGGCGCGAGAGCAGGGCTTCCTTAGGCCAGTGCCTGGCCTTGGCTGCTCAGAACGGCCAGTAGCTCACGCCCCCACCCCCAAGCCCCACCTGCATCTCCCACAAACCCCAGCTGAAGGAGGTTTGGAGGCACCACCAGGGCCAAGAGCGCATGGGCCACTTGCTCCCCTTCTCTGACTCCCCAAATCACGGGCCAAAGGCGGACCCACGGGGAGAGTGCAGTGAGCGGCCGCAGGAGCGTTCGGAGGCACCGCATCTCTGGACAAAACGTCCGGCCTGGCAGACGGGGGCGCCAGAGGGGGGAGGGGACTGGCCCGGCAGGCAGGTTCCCCGCAGACAGAGCCTGAGGGATTCAGAGGCCCGTGGACAGAGGGGCAGGCGGGAGGCTGGCACAGAGGCCTTGGACTGAGACGCCGGAGGAGGAAGAAAGGGACGCGCTGAGAACAGCCAGCGTGGGAGACGGGGCTCCGGGCAAACGACCTCTCAGGCCCCAGATCCCAGGCCCCGTGGCCGCAGAGAACACCACCCCCACCGAGCGCGGCCACACAGGGCCCTTTGTTTGCCTCCCGCCCGGGCCGGGAGCTGGGAGCACGGGGAGGAAGGAATGTCTCCGCCTCGCGGGCTCCAGGCCGCTCAGCGCCCCCCGCTGGCTGAGCCCTCCCGCCCCCACATCCCAGGGCTCTGCGGGATGGAGGAGAAGGCCTGGGACACGGGCGGGACGAAGGGGCTTCGGGCACCTTAAAATCCGACAGGGAGGCCATCAGCTCGTCCAGCTCCCGGGTGGCGGAGGAGGCCGAGATCCGCGTCTGCTGCTGGCTGGAGGTGACGCGCTGGGGGCTGCTCATCTCGCCGCGGCTCACGGTGATGGCGGGGCTGCAGGCGGGCAGTGTCAGAGGGAGCCCAGTCCAGCCCCACGCTCCCCCCGTGCGGCCCGCCCCTCCTCAAGGAGATCGACATGCCAGCTCTGACACTGGGGTCCCAACCCCAAGCCCGGGGAAGCCCCCCAGCTCCCGATCTCTTCCGGGGGAGGAGGTGCTGTCGGCCGGGGGAGAGAGCTGACGTGGGAGAAGGGAGGACACACAAACAGCAACTTCCCCAGGTAGACGCCTCTAGGCATCCAGCCCAAGTTCAAGCTTGCCCGTGGCATAAGCCTCCGTGACACTGCGTGCACAGTGCGAGCGCCAGAGACACACGGTCAGCCCCGGAAGAGCTACCACTTAGAAAGCTCACCATGTACAGCGCCTGCTGAGCCAGAAACCACGCCACGTGCTCTACATGGAGGACCGGGTCGACCCCAGGGAGGCAGGCGGCCCATCCCCATTATCCACAGCCCCAATCCCATTTTGCAGGTGGAAACATTAAGGCTTGAGACACTTCGTAAGGGCGGAGCCAAGGTCTGAACCCCACTGTGTGGCTCCAGAGCCTGTGCTGACTGCCCCTCAGCTCCAGGGCCCTCAGCCTGCCTGGCGCCTGTCTCTTCAGGCGGCGGTGGCTCGAGGAAGCAGGAACGGTGCCCGGGCAGCTCCCCCATCCGCCCGAGCCTGGCGCGGGCGGCGGACCGCAGGCTCTTACGGAGGGGACGGGTCACGGGCACTCACACGGGGCTGGGCACGGAGCTCTCCAGCTCGTCCAGCAGGCTCTCCACGCTGGGCCGCACGTCCTCCAGGCCGCGGGCCCCGTTCCGCTTGGGCTTCTCCTTCGCCGGGGGCCCGGCGCCGCCTGCCAGCAGGCTGTTCCCCTCCGGGGCGCCGTAGTGAGGGCTCAGGGCCCGGGGCAGCGGGGGGCTCGAGTTGGCCTCATCTTGGGAGAGGGAGAGAAAGACCGCTCAGCCTGAGCCCTCTCGGGACGGGGCGAGGCCGGCCTGCCCGGAGCACCCACCTGCGGGGAAGCCCGGGGGAGCACCCACCTGTGGGGAAGCCCGGGGGAGCACCCACCTGCGGGGAAGCCCGGGGGAGCACCCACCTGCGGGGAAGCCCGGGGGAGCACCCACCTGCGGGGAAGCCCGGGGGAGCACCCACCTGCGGGGAAGCCCGAGGGGAGCACCCACCTGCCGGGAAGCCCGCGGGGAGCACCCACCTGCCGGCAAGCCCACGGGGAGCACCCACCTGCGGGGAAGCCCGGGGGAGCACCCACCTGCGGGGAAGCCCGAGGGGAGCACCCACCTGCCGGGAAGCCCGGGGGAGCACCCACCTGCGGGGAAGCCCGTGGGGCCGTGCTGCACGGCGTTCAGCTCCAGCAGCAGGCGGTCCAGCTCCGAGAGGTTGCTGCCCAGCGAGGAGCTCATCACGGTGGGCGAAGGCTCGGCCGACTTCTGCTTGTTGGGGAAGCTGAGACAAAGGGAAGGTCGCCCTGAGCGCACGCCCGGCGGCGGCCGCCCCGCTCTCCAGGGGAACGGGCAGGGCGAGGTCTGCCCCGGCGAGAGGCCTGAGGGGGGATGGATGTCCTGCCTCTCCGTTCCCCGCTGACAGGGGCGATGTGGCGGGACGGCTGGTTTGGTACGGAGCCCGGAGATGGCAGTGACCAGGCCGCCAGGAGGCACCACGAGCGGCTGGGAGCCTCGGGCCTTCTGTGATTTGGTCCATGACCCAAGGCAGGACCCCGCGGGCCCGGGCCTTGCCTCCTCCCTGGCCTCGCTGCCTCCAGCCCTGGCCGGGCCCCAGGTTCCCAGGCAGGAGGGGAGGGGAGGGGAGGGGAGCGGCAGGGGTGCCCAGGCAGGAGGGGAGGGGAGGGGAGGGGAGGGGAGGGAGGGGAGGGGAGGGGAGCCCAGGCAGGAGAGGAGGGGAGGAGGGGAGCAGCAGGGGTTCTGGGCAGGAGGGGAGGGGAGCAGCAGGGGTTCTGGGCAGGAGGTGAAGGGAGGGGAGCGGCAGGGGTGCCCAGGCAGGAGGGGAGGGGAGGGGAGAGGCAGGGGTTCTGGGCAGGAGGTGAAGGGAGGGGAGGGGAGGGGAGGGAGCGGCAGGGCTGGCGTACCTGTAGACGTGCTCTTCCTCACCGGCCCGAGCGCAGGGGGGGCCCAGGCCGTCCTGGGGCGTGGGGGCACCGCACGGTGTGGCACTGGAGCCGTAGGCGGGCGGCAGGGACTGGGGCTGCGGGAGGAGAACGCTCAGAGCCTCGGGGGAGAAGGAACAGTCACCCCCAGGAGGCTGCCGTCTCACCAGGGAATTTCCACCCTGGGCTGGAGGCAGGTGAGTAACACTCGGTCACCGCCCCTCACGTGGCGGCTGGTGGGGAGAGCCCTCTCCCTCCCCAGCCCGTCCCTCCCTTGGCGCCAAAGCCCCGGCCGCACCTGCTGGTGGAGGAATCGGGGCGCGCTGGGCTGCCACTGGTCTAAGGGGTCGAGCAGCGCGCCGTTGAGGGCCTCGCTGGACGGGGGCGGGGGCACCGGGGGCGGCACGGCGATCTCCTGGTACGTGTGGCTCCCGGTTGGGTAGGAGTAGGGGGTCTCCTCCGACAGGAACACGGGCCGCTTGGAGATGTGGGAGGTGGTGGACTCCAGGTCCTCCAGCAGCGCGTCTGCGGGAAGCGGGAGGGTGAGCAGCGGGGCCTGGGACTCCCCCAGGCAGTGCCCGCCGGCCGGCCGGCCGGCACCAGGAGCTGAGGAGACGGGCACCTGCCCCGCCTCAGGTCAGGAGACACCGGCTCAGCCAGCCTGCCTAAGAGCCAGCCCAAAGCTGACCTCCTCCGTCCGTCCAGCCCCACGGGGGTGCTCGGAGGCTCCCGGGCTGCCTGCGGCTCTCCTACCTCCGTGGGCCCCTTGTTCCCTCCGGACAGGCAGGCGGAGCAGCCGGCTGGCGGGAGTCAGCGATGCCCGCCTGGAGCCGGTGCTCTGACTCCGCGGGCAAGGCGCAGAGGACGGTGGGAGGGGCCCCACGTCACGGGGAGGGGCCGTCTCAGCCCCCATCGAAGGGACCCTGGGTGAAACCTGCCTTCCTGACGGGCTGTAAGCAGAACCCAGGTCTGAGAGCTCCTTCCAGGCTGCGGGGAGGTGTGTGGGAGGTGGGGGCTGGGACTCGGCTGGTGCAGTGTTTCTACCTCCTGGGCCAAGCCTTGGGGGGGTGGGATGGAGTGGAGGGGGTGGCAGAACTACTCCGTAGGCTGTTTCTGCAGAAGCCTGGCAAGCAGCCTGGCCGGAGGCTCCAGGGCCCCACTCTTCTGCTTTTACCAGCAGCAAGGGAGCCGAATCGGCCCTCGAGTGCAAGCTTCCATCACCCCCCCTCCCGGACCTTCACCAGCCCCAGAGGGCCGGCCCACACGCCCACCGCATCCCTGCCACCCCGGGGACTTCTCACTCTCACCTCTGGCGGCCTGACCTGCGCGGGACAGGCCCGGCCCTGCACAAACTCCTGAGAAAGCAGTGGCTGCACCACTGGCATTTCCTAGTGGCAGGCGCAGTGGACGCACTCCTGGCCTCAGTAACCCTCCTATTACCCCACCAAGCGGGACTCTGAGGCTTCCTTTACAGACAGGACACCAGCTTCTGCAGGTGGTGGGACTCGTCCCCCACCACCAAGCCAGTAAGTGACAGGAGGTGACTCCTCAGAAGCCCCCAAACCTGGCCTGTGAGAGGCGCTGTGATCACTAGCCAATGCCACATTTAAACGGTACAACCTCCTGCAGCAAGGGCCCGGCTCTCAGGGCTGCCGTCCGTTCCCTCAACCCCACCCCAGCTCAGAGAAAGGAAGAGGGAAGCAAGGCCCTCCGGGGGCCCTGCTCTGTGGGCCACACCTTCTCCCGCGGTCTCCTTCCCCCACGGCCAGCCACACCTACCCCTGGCTCCTGCCCAGCGGTTCAGGGGGAAGCTGTTCCACGGCCCAGGAGCCCGGCCCCCGCAGCCTAGGACCCTAGGACAGGGCTCCTGACTCCGAGGAAGGTCAATGCCTGCACTCCTCCCACTCCAGGTCCTTTGGAAGAGACCTGGCTTCCTGTCTCCAGCGAACCGGAACTAGAACAAGCCAGTGTGTGTCTAGGTAACAGCAGAAAAGGAACCAGCGCCCAGGCCAATCCCAGTGGCCTCTCCACAGCCCCACCTGCTGCTCTGGCTTCCCGCAGAGTCCCCCTCCCTCTGGGCCCAGGCCAGCAAGGGTGGGGCTCCTCCTTCACGGCAGAGCCAGCGGGAGAGGCCAGAGGCTCCCCAGAGCAGGCAGCAAGTGCAACCCCCGGGGACAGGAGCGGCCGCTGTGCTTGAGCGCCCACCACATGCCAGGAGCTTCCCACACATGCCACTAGCTCAGACGGTAAACTGAGGCACAGAGGCAGAGGCACACCTCACACTGCCAGAGCCAGCTGCAGTGACCCAGCTGGGATATGAACTTGGGGTACTTGGGTCCCAAACACTCAGAAGAAGACAGATGGGTAACCTTCCCTGTCAAACCAAACCCTCTGCATCAAACAGCCCTCCTTGTCTCAGTCTGATTACTGGTTTATGGACTGGATGCTGGTTTACCATTTCAACGGGCTCTTTCTACAGATACATCAGCTGGTCGGAAGGCGCAGTCCCGGAGTACAGAGACAAAAGGCCTTAGGTTCTGGAGCTGAGTTCAAGCCCCAGCTGCCCTCTCCATGGTCCATGGCCACACAGCAAAGCCACTTAGCTGCCCTGAGCCTCAGTTTCCTCAGTCAGCGGGGTTTACACGGGATAGACAGATGCCATAGTGCACATCGGATCTTATTTGCTTTGTGAAATTCAGAAAAAGATCTCCTTCGGAGGCGATCAGGGTGGGATGCAAAGAACTGACTCCTCCTAAGTCTTCTATGGGCAGAATCTGGGCAAGACATGAAAGGAAGCCCTTGAAGAGAAACGCAAAGTAATAAAGTAGCATTCCAAGCGAAACACTGTGGATGTCAGGGAGAAAGAAGATACATCATTTTTCCAAACTCCTGCTGAGAGGAACCCCCGCGGGACACAGTCACGGGGTCTGTGGTGTACTTCCCCCTCTCCGCCCTCCGTCTCTGTTCAGCGACTAGACAGGGCCCGGTGTCAGCGTCCCCCCAAAACCTCCCAAACACCTCAGGGAAGAGCGCCGGGAGCACGGGCAGCCCGGAGGACACGCCGACCCCTGCGGGGGGGTTCCTATGGGTGCAGCGCCTGCTATCTCACGGCGCAGTGGTCACAGCCAAGTTTCCCTGCACGTTCAGCAGACTCCTCCCCTGCTGAGTCAACCGAGTGGCCACGAGGACTGCACAGAGTTCACCTGCAGGCGGAGCCCACAGGGAAGGGTCCCCAGATTTCAGCTCCATCTGCCGCCTGGCACCCAGCTCTATGCACCCTGGGGGCAGGCTCAGAGCTTCCTCCCACTCATACCCCAAAGAAGGCGCCAGAGAAAACGGGGCTGCCTGGGCAAAGCAGGAACCGAAGCAGTCAGGGCTTGCTCATCCAGGATGAGGAAGGCCTCAGACTTCCGCCCTCCCAGGCCTGAGACCCTCCCAAGCCCGCCGCGGGGCTGCCCCGGCATGCTGCAGCAGGAAGCTCCCCGGCTGCCGCCCCGATCTGGAGGAAACCACCTAGACCCCCAAAGCTTCTCGCTTCTCCGCCAGCGGGGCACGTCTCTTCCCACGCGTGTGGAGAGAGAGGTTCTCTCCAAACTGGGGCCCCAGGGGGAGGAGGGGAGGGCGCTGAGAGCCAAGTCTCCCGCCCAGCGAAGGCCACTCGGCTGGGCTCTGGCGGCGAAGGGGTGCAGACCTTCGCCCTCCCCGCCAGAGGGCGCTCCTGGCCCGCCGGCTCCCGCTGCCGGAGTAGCCGCGGTAACCTCGGTAACCTCGCGCGATCACCGATTCGGCCGGGAAGACCGGGAGCCCCGCCACCGATGCACGAGGGAGACTTCAGTGCCGGGAGGCGGGGCTGCGGGGGAGGAACGGAGCCGGCTCCGAGGAGGCGCACGAGGCGGCCTGGGTGCCCAGCCTCCGGCCGTGCCCGGGGCACACTATCATTGAAGGTGCGACCCCCGAGTGACGCTGGCCCTGAGGACCGCTCCCGGATGCCACCCCTCCGCAGACAGACCAGGGGCAGGTGCCGGACCCCTTCCCGAGGCCGTGCCTGGGCCCAAGCAATGCTCAGAGCAGCAGCGGCTTCGGCCTAGAGGCACCTGGGGCAGGTGGCTGGGGGCAGGGAGCATCTGAACCAGGCCTCGCCCAGCCCCAGCCCCAGCCCCAGCACCGAGCCCCTAGCAAGAGAGTGTAATCTGACCTGAGGACCTGCTGGGAGCGGCCGGATCTGCGGCCTGGGGGTGAGGGTGGGGGTGGGGTGTAATTAAGACTCAAGCGCCTCCAGCTGCTGCCCCTGGAGGGAGGGGACCCAAGGGCTGGTCTGCCCGCATTCCAGGACTAGCTAGCCTAGGGGTGCAGAGCAGAGGAGGGAGCCCCAGGACCCCTCATTCTCCAGACTGGCTCTGGAGACTCGGGCTGACCTACAGAGAATTAATGAACCCTTTCCACCTCTAACCCCAACTAGTGCAGAAAAACAAGTCAGGGCTCTTTTGCAAGACTGGCTTCCTCCTACTCAGACCACTTCTCAGGATGCGATAAGGGCTATCGAGAGGCCTAGCGCTGAACTGACACCAAGAGGGTGAGATAAACGGGGAGTGGTGGGTGTGGAGGACTCTGAGCCATCCCCCCTCCAAGCTCTAAGAGAGGGGGGTCTGAGTCACGCTGACTGCTTCGTGGCTGAGCTGCCCAGCCAGGCTGCTTAGCAGTTCCCGGGCCTTGGTGTTCTTGTCTGTCAGATGGGAATTCCACCCCTTAGCTCAGAGGGGTGAGGGTTACAGGAGAACACGGGTACAGTGCTTGCGGAGCCCCATGCTGGAACACACACACGCTCAGTACTTGGGGGCTAAAGCAGCCGGCGCTCCCTGCCGGGAGGCGGTTACCCCTGGAGGGGACAGAGGAGGCCTGCCCAGCCCATCCAGCCCGGGACAGGATGCTGTGGTCCTGAGCCAGGAGTGAGGGGCACTGTTCTGGGGAAACCAAAGTCACCCTGGAGAAGCCTCCCCGACAGGTCTCCACGGTGGAAGAGGTCAATGTGGGGTGTCATCGGGACCAGAGCCCACACTGCCACACCTGCCCCAGTGCTGGGCCCCTCCACACTGCTCCACTTGGCAGCCCCAGAAGAGACGGGCCATCAGGAAGACACCCCCTCGACAGGCCTCGGAGAGGCCCACCGTGAGAACAAGACCTATCAAGCCTCGGTCACGGGTCAGTGTAACTCAGCTCTCGGCGCCCCAGCCGGGCAGGCAGTGTCCTAGGAGCTGCCAGCGGAGGGAAGGAGCAGCGACAGCGCCTGAGAGCTCCTGGCGCGGCTGTGCGTCCTGCCATCTAGTACGAGACCGAGACCGGACTCAGGCGGCATCAGCTCAGCCAGTCCCTTCCCCACCGGTTCCGGGGAGGCCCAGCCTATGGCCCCAGGAGGTGTGGGGTCCCCTGCTGAGCACCTGCTGGGCCTGGGTGGTCTCCAGCAGCCAAGCGGGCTGGGCCTTCCAAAGGAAGGAGCTATGTAAACAGCAGGCCCAGCGCCCCATGGG